TCGAACAATAAAAAAAATATAACTTTTTTCTCTTCAAGTTGGGAAAATCGAAAATGGTGAATCGAAAATTGAAAGCGTGCGTAAAACTGATTTCAATATATTGTTCCCGATCCCTCTATTGAGCGCTTCCCTAACCATCTATTTGCTCGTCTTCTGTTGCATGTTATTGAAACTTAACATATGTGTGATGACATAGATTATAAACCCTATATTTGTTGCTGTCATGTTGTTACTATCAACAAATGGATGGAACAGGTTGAACAAATCGCCGTTGTTCAACTCTTTCATTCGTGGCCTTCGTCATCATTTCATATGTATCAATTATATAGTTGGTCATGTGATTTTTGATGTTTGGAGCATTTTTTCCGTTAAAAAATGTTGGAAGGCTTTTTTAGAAAATACAAAATCAATTCAGCACAGATATAATCATATGTAATATTTCCTATCCCCCAGTTTCTGGTAACAGGATTTTAGAATGTGAAGGTCGTGCTTCACTAACCGGCTGGTAAAGTATTTCCTTATGAATTGTATTATGAAGTCGAATAGAATGAGATCAGTAGAGAAGAAAGCTTAAGGCAGAGAACTGTGAAGTTTTTTTTTTCTAGAATTATGTAGTTTTTTCCTCTTTTTTACAATGAATATATTGGGCGGTTTTTTAAACCATCTTCGGCTAATTCACTAGTTTTTCATCTCGTTGATGTTTATTTTATTACTCTTTTGCACTCGTTGTTACTGTTTACTTAACAAATGTTTGATAAATTTTTGGAAAAGGGGGCATTTGTCGAATGATAGGGGTTTTGCATTTCCGAAGTTTGAGACAACGATCTGCTGCAACATTTTTTTCCTGTTTCTGTTTTTAATATCATCTGCTTCCTTCTTGAAAAATGGACTGCTTTTTTATTATTGTCAAGTTGTTTATAAAAGGCATTATCTGAAAATGCAGTAAATGATGACCATTAAAAATATTTGAAGAAGAAATCGTTAAATGCAGCTCTCTGTTCATTTATTAATTGTCAAGCATACCATCATTTGAGTGAAATATAGTTCCTTAAAATTTTAATAGTGATTAGAATTCACTCATTGATTTTTTGATTTTCTCAACTGTTCGTCAATACCAGCATAGCATTTGTTTGTTTCGTTGTATTGTCGTTGTATTGGAAAGAACTTTCATGAATGATGATGTCATCAACTTGGTAAGGATAATATGTGATATGGAAGAAAATCGAAGCTTCTTCGAAATTTAAAAGTTTTTTCAATACAAAATTCATTTCACGTTTAAGATTAAATTTATGAATTTTCTCAAAAATTGTTCGTTTCAGAATTGCTCACTTATTTTCCGTGCACTTTTCGAATGTATTTTCTTAGGGAATTACCGTCCTTCATGAGATGTCTTTCATTTTTTTATGCTCTTTTTAGATATATCATTTCACATTTCTGAATGATGAAGTAATTTGTCATTATTTTTCGAAATCTTTTAGTCATTTCCTGTTCCAGTTCGTATATAACTTTTTCAGAAAGTGAGAGGTCCTTTAATTGCCCACGAAATTTTTATTTGGTAAAATGCTGAATTTTTCATATCGTTGAAATGCGAATTTAAGGATAAACAAAGGCTTCCATTATTGATAATAAATGTAATAGAATTAATCGGAGCGGGACAGACAATAAGTTTGGTGAATATTTTGAGTGAAGCTTTTCTGGAATTAGCAAATTTGAATGTGATTTTCGGAAATGCGAAATTGACTTATTTCAAATATTTTACAACAAACAAGTTCGTTATGAATCATAAATTTCTGTTATGAATCCATTTCTTATTTATTTAATCAATTATTTCATAACTGGTTCTCGTTTAATTCAACAGAATGACGTGATGTAAAAACTATATGGTGATCTTTGGTAGAATATTTTATGCTGTCTGATAATAAGCCTTGTATTATTTACGCTCATTTTTTGCTTATTCAGACTAAAAATCATTACATTTCACAGCCATCCATTAGAGCTGTCGAGAAATGTGATTTGTTCTAAATTAAATTCATCGAATTATTGGTATTGAAAATATGAAGTTATTTGTTCAGACTATCTTACCTAAATTTATCTGAATATCGAATTGATTGAATTTTATAATTTTATTTAATTCTCATACTTTCTCATATTTTCTTATTCGGAATATTGCACTTAGTTCAGAAAAAAAATTAAAAGGCCGAAACTACTTTTCAAATTCGCAGAAAGTTTTTTTCTTTAAATGTATTGCTTTTTGTTGTCTTTCCACAACGTTTTCTTTTCATTTTTTTTTTAATAGTTCTGCTATTTATTTGTCGCAGTAATTACTTTTCGCATCATTTCAGAAAAATTTTTGCCTCCTCTTTATTTCAATTGCTCATGTGTGCATGCTAGTGACGGTTTTAAAGATTGTATTGGTATGTTATCATTTCGTAAATCATTTCGTAAAAGTAATGTAGAAGTTTTTATAATAATACTTTAAACGATTTTTAATACCAAATTGCATATATTCTGACGAGCGATGTCAGCGATCAGCTATTATTTTTATCATTGTGGATGTGTGCTATCATATTCTTTAGGATAGTTTGATGACTCAGTGCACGTAGACTTGGACGTAATCATGTATTATTTGTGAATGCTTTTCCTTAGTTAAAGTGAAATCCGATTTAGTTTGATTGTAATTCGAGGGAAGCATCATTAAGCTTATTCATATGGAATTTTTTGGCATTTAGCTCCTTATTTGTATATTTCCTTGGAAGTTTTATTCCGTATGAATTATAAGTTACTACCTTAACTTCACCCAATGATACAATTGGTAAAAAAGTGAAACCAGTTTTGGGGTTAATTCCTTACCTATTTAAAATTTATTTTTTCACATCTATCATCCAGTCTTTTGGGACATTTATAGACTGCAGATGGTGTTAGTTGCGAAGTTGATTACGAAACCTTGGAAAATATCTAGAATGATTCATGGATAGTAATTAGTAATACAGCTTGTTAAATAAAGAAAAACATTTGTTATGTCTGCATTTTCACTGTAATATTTTGCTGTACTAACACCCAGAGGTAGTGCTTGGTTATGACTGTACTTATGCGGAAAAAAATTATAAATGAAATTTCAGAAAACAAATCGTATTTCAATACAGTTGTTCTTGTGTAATATCAGATGGTGAAAATACTTTAAACTATAAATTACTACAGATATTACCATCAAAAAATTCTTGAGAGACTTTATTTCAAATCCGTCATGTCTAATAATTTCCTTATCTTTTATCTGATTAACACTTTTCTACTGCATCAGTTTTGATTATTTTGATTTGCTTTTTTGGAATATTAATGTATATATTTCACAGCTAATGAATTTTTGTACTGAGTTAATGAATTTTTACCACCGTCATTTTGCGGTTTAGTCGAACTTAAAATCAGTTTAATTTCATTTTAACATAATTACTACTGCTTTGAATTGAATACAGAGTTTTCAGGTAAATCTTGATTCGGTGAAATATATTTTTCTTTATCGATAGCTTGGTTTTATGATGCACAAAAATGATTTTATGGTATGTTAATAATGAAAAATGAAAATTTGCGTTCTTAGTCATTATAGGTCAGAATGACGATATTTCCTTGACTTCACGTGATATTCCTGTGTTATACGAAAAGGACTTTTATCATTATAAATGCATTACACTTTTTCCTAAATTTTTTTATTTTGTTAAATTATCGTTGATGTAACCTTGCGTGAAATTCATGAGATTTTTTAATGTTTTTTTTTTTTTTGGAGAAGAGGGAAGGAGGGTGTATTTACCTTTCAATGATCTCCTTTATTGGCCGGGAAACATGGAAAATTGGATCTAGATTCATTTTGCCACAGATTAGTTTGTTGCTTCACAGTGAAAAAGGGAAAAGTTTTTACTTTCATTAATATGCATATCGGGGCAGTTATGCTGACTTTTTCATTCTTGACTTTTCCTTAAAATCTTTTATTTTGCTTAACTTGTCTTTCGTCACATTTATTTCTAGTCTTTTTTGAACAGTTTCTTCAATTAATTGGGCGTATTCCTCGTAGAACGCTTTTCAAGTGGGAACGAATTTCTTGCCCTAACTAAAGCTGTTTCATTTCACAGGTTTAATCGCTAAAAATATATTTCGTTTCGGTCTACTGTAATGATCCAATTCGTTAGTCCATTTATCCTTAGTACTTATTCTAGATGCCTGGGTTTTGCATTTCAGCCCATGATATTTGTTTACATTTACTTAAATTTAAAACCTTTAGAAAATCAAGAAATTGCTGATTAATAATATTTAATGTCCGAAAACTTGATTAATGATTTCCGACATCAAATCTTGTTAAATAAATAGGGAGAAAGTTGGAGCTTTGCTAAAGTTTTCAAATTTTCAGAAGAAGATAATTGTCGCTCTTATTTTTTGGATTTTGAGTCTAATCATGAATCTTAAATATTTGACCCTAGTAAAAATTTTATTTTGGTACTTGGTTGAACAAAAATCCTCAAAATTCTAAAACTTTCGAACAAATAAAGTAATTTCCTATTTTCTTAACACCATATGTTTTGTATTTTCAATATTTCGGTTTGACACAGCAAAAAAAAGTTTGTATATTGTTTGGTAGTTCTTTGAGCTTTCAGTTTACATTTGTTATGGTGTTATTACCAATGCAATAAATGCATATTTATGAAACATTTGCAAATTTTCTAACTGTTTGCACAAAGGATTGTGTTTCTAGATGTTTGGTTATAAAATTTCACAATAACGAAAGAATTAGAGTTGTTTTGGTATCATGAAACCTTTCTATGAAGTTTAATGTTAATCAAATATTAAAACTATGATTGAAGGATGATAGTTTTTAATTTGCTGCGACATTCGTAATGTTCGTTGAGGGACAAAATGTTTTTTATTTGGATGTTTATCGGTATCGATGTGGATCAGGAGCTTCCGCGTAATTTGTCTGAAGTTGTGCTACCATTTTTCTCGTATTGAGAACATTTTACTAACAATAGCTCTAGTGAAGATGAAAATCCGGACTGTTTTAAAACTTTCAGAACGCTGTTATGATATTCTTCTTAAAATGTTGTTGGAGGAGTAGGATTATTGCTTGAATAAAAAGTTTCGAAAGTATTTAAAATTTCTAAGTGTGGAATTTTTTGGCTTTTCATTTCCATTTATTGGAAGTATTGATTAACTGCCTAGGTTTATGTTATTTTTCTTCTTATTCTTGAGTTGATGGGAAGAATAATATATTAAATTATAAGCTGAAAAAAGACTGCCATTTTCATCCTCTAATTTTTGAAAAGATAAAAAAAGTGATTTTGCAAACAGGCACAAGTGTATCATGCATATTAAACTCGGTTTTAATTATTTTGTAAGCAGTGAATCTAGTGGAAGAAATTGGCAACTAGTATTTTCCTAAATTAAATTTCAGCTGTTAATTATAACATTTTAATATTATTCAAAACAGAGTTGTAATGTGAAAATAAGTGCATTAATTTCTGCGCGGAATATGAGAGCTTTGTATGGAACTTCTCTCTTGCGAAAGTCTTGTGTGTTAAAATTTTAATGAAAGGACTTTGACTGTAGTCTTTCTCTGTAGATTTGGATGTGGGCCTAGAAAAAAAATTCGTAATTTTTAGCTTCAGTATCCAGAAGCAAAAGAAAATGTTGTGTTTGATGCATTTTGACATTCCATTTATTTTTTTCTCAAGTTATGACCCGTGAAGCTACAACATCCTGCTTAAAGCTGCAATAAATTTGAGGGACAGGGATCAGATTTACTAGAAACAATTTCGGATGAGGGATACCGCTGTGTTAGACTTATGAGTTTACTGATTTGGAATGACTCATTTTTGCCTGAATCTTTTGATGTATCTAGATCCTTCTAATTTTGCAAGCGGTTTGAATTTATTAGAGAATTCAGTATCATGTAAAAAATTAAAATTGAAAATTTTTTGGAGTTCTTTGTTTTAAAATAAGGTTTTATAAGGTGCAATGAGTTAATTTAGTAAGCATTGATTTTTGTGATTAATTTAGACATTCACAGCGAGTACACCATCGTACGGGTCGTTAATATACACAAAACAGAAAACAACTTCATGTTTAATCAATTTAGTTGTCAGCTTAAGTAATCATCATATTTTGTTGCACGTTTGGAAAAGCTTAATTTTGTTTTCATGCACAAAGTGGTTCCGCATTCCTTCCATTACATCTGTTTTATATATTATTTCTAATTTTATTGTAATTATTTGCCTTATTTCTGCTGGCTTTCCCAGCCCACATTTGATCTATGAGTACAGAAGAAACTTGCATATTCTTCTTTATCAGCACTGGAAAATTTTCGCATTGGATATATTCAATTATCTTTGTTCAAAACTTATCCATTCTTCTCAGTCGTCAGTAAGCTCATTAGGATATTATAAGTAATGTAAGGAAAGAAGTTGTAAGGCATTTTAGCTATTCGCTTCTTGAATAAATATTTCACCGGAGTTTCATTATCATCGCCAGGAAACATGTGTCCGGTGTCACAGTCATCTTATTCTGTTGAATCACGTTATACGTAGGCTATAGCTCGAAAATTAAGTATTAGATGAGTATTCAATTTCTACGACTAAATACACTATGAAACAACTTTGGAATGTTTGATCAATTTTGTTGTCAATCAGCTAGTTGTTTGATTGTCGAATAGATCAGCTGGTTGTTTGATTGTCTAATACAGATGAATATTTTCGCGTTACGGAATGCACTATTTTGTTAATAATTTTTGAAAAGCTGAAATAATAAATTTTCAACAGTAACATTTCCGACAAACAAATGACAGAAGCTTCTGATAACAACGGCATATTTGGACACTAATACGCCTCGTACCGGTTTTTCGATCTTCGTTATTTTCTCGCGATAACTTGATTTTTTTAAGATTGCGAAAAGTTTTTTGATCAAGAGCGAAGAAGCTAGGGGATCAAGTCTTTTGGCTTGGATTCAGAATTGCAATAGAAGGAAAAGAAAGAAATGGGTATTACGGGATCACATCCACACATTTATCATCAATCCATGAGCGGTTCAAAGAAATATCATCTTTATCGTCGTGGTGTGCGAAACAAATGTTCACTGTCGGCCCGTTTATCTTGCAAACCTTGTGCAGAAGAGAAATTTTTTCCACCACCTATCTTGCACACTAAATTTCATGAATTGAATCCTAATTCTTCGGTCATAAGTATTTTTAGTGCTGCTGATACAAATCAGATGGTGAAGCAAGACTCTGCTTTGAAGAGTGACGATAAGAGAAGGAAATGTCCGTCCCAGGAACTTCCTGACACTTCGACGTGTAAACGCAGAAAACTTCCCTTTCCAGTTTCGAGAAATTTTTCAAATCGAAAATTTTCATCTCAAAAGGATTCGCCAAAGCCAAAAATCGGCGTTAGGTTATTATTAACTTCGAGTGTATCATCAGGAGTTGATTCCGTTTCGGAAGAATCTGAACTCGATGTCGAGAAAATCAAGAAAAAAGAACAGCGTAATGATGAAGTCAGTTCAAAACGTGGAAGTGAAACCTGTGAGTTGGTCAACAAACACTCTGCTCAAACAGATCTGCATATTCCTCGTTGTTCCCTAGATTCTGGTGCCAGTTTCGATGAAGAAGATGCCAAAAATGCGGTTTTTGATGATAGTTCTACTTGCAAAAACTTTGAAACCGTATTCGAAGAAAAGGAGAGAAGTGATGATGGCCCGATGAAGTGTGTTCCAGTGTATTTCAAAAAGTCATCCTCCAAATGCAAAAAGATTCGAAAATTTTCGTTAGTAAAACCTTTCCAGAAGATGAGTAAACGAACCACTTCACTACCATCCGCACATTTGGCGAGTTCTTCGAAAAGTGAGTTTTGTTTTCTAAGTTCCACAATACAATTTATAGCATTTCAAGAAAAAAAGTTCATTTCTGATGCAAATTTTGCCAGGAATGTTAAAATGCAATAATGTCCAGCCATTTCTCCATTCCTTCCGTCTCTCATTTTTAAAATGTAAACTGCTGAAAATATTTCTGTTCTGTTTTTCATCTAGATTTTAATGTAACACGAAACTTGAACGGAGGTCTGGATCAAAAATTTCTGGGAATAAGCTTTATCAAGGCATGGCGTAGCAAAGGATTCTTTTTCGTCTTTTAGTGAGAAGTAATATGAACAAATAAATTATCCTTAATAGAATTTTATTTTCTTTATTGAACATCTCCTTTATGTCTTGTATTCTTTGTCATATGAAAGAGAAGGATAACACATGGCGTAAAAAGTAAAATAAACAATTAGATGACATTTTTTCCTAAAATTTGCACTTTAAAATTAAGAATTGTCTGTTTGCTTATGAGTAACTTCAAAGACTTGTATCCATCAGTTGAAATTTTATTGATTTTATGCCTTTCCAAATCTATTGGAAACAACATTGTTGGGATACTGATTTTAATTCATTAATATAAAAGTATTAAATTCAAATACAATAACATTTCAAATACAATAGCAAGAATATCTTGCCATGTCTGCTTGATTAACATCTGCTGCTTACACTCATCTTAACTCTTACTTCTTGCTTCTCGATTTCCTTTTGTCTTACTG